GCCCGAGCAGCGAAACATATCCAAATCAACTGCCAGTCCACAAGGCTACCGAAAGCTCCACTGAACATTAGATGCTCATAAACATTTTCACGTTCCTACCAGCGAACTGTATCCACCACCTTAGGGAAGGTTGAAAAATCAACGCACAAAATGAGAATATAGAGGAAAGAAACTGACGGGTTCAAGTTCAAAATAAGCCTGATCGTCTTCGCTTGGATACTGAAAACCCGAGAAATTTTGGTAAACTTCTGCAGGCGAATTATAAAAGTGAACACCAGAAACATAAATACGAGGAGATCCGGGTTTTGTCCGACCAATATCAAAGAAACCTGCTGGCAAGCAACCTTCTGAAAAACAGTTGTTGACACTTTATCAGCAAAGCCACAAAGACAGTTCACGCGTGGAAGAAACTCTGGTGCTCAGATGTATTCACATGCCCACTGCACCTGTGAGAACCGCATGACACCAACCTAATGCTAACGAAAGCGTTTCGCGTGAAAGCTCAGCGAAAATCTGATGAAACTAATCCGCCAATTTCTGCCAATATACTAAAACTAAAACTGTGTGCTCACAAAAAATGCAAATCAGTCTTTCATGGCAAGTGCTGGCACTACTATATTAAACCGGACCACTTATGCATATCCAACCCACTCGGCGAGTGCCCCTCAAACAGGACTTCTAAAATTATTATTTTGGTTTCACACGTCTTCTTATGCGTAATTCTAAACAAAAATTTCCATGCTTCCTTCTTCAGCATATTTTCTATTAAAAAACTTCTAAATTTGCAAATCAAATCCAAAATTAAGCCATACGTGCCGTGCTACCTCTGAGAGAGGCTGTGGATAGGTGGGAAAGGTGCTATCAAAGTTGAAGGAATAGAACAAACCGGGTTGTATGCGATCACTAAAATAGCGTGGTGTTGCTGGATTACAAAAACCTTTGTTTTCTGGCAAGAAAGGATCGTAGACCGCAGGTGGAATGACATAACGATAGGATGGTATGCCTTCAAATGTTGCGTGTCGATCGTAACGTAGAAAAATTGATCTGAAAAAAGAAATCGAGATGGACGACAAATATTCTGTCAGAATTACAGCTGTTACTTCCCTGAGTTGGTATAGTACCAAATGTGGACTTCGATGTGACTGTAAGGGTGAAGCAAGCGCACACAACAGTTGAATTTGATATGTTTTAAATTTATGGACAGAAAATGTTCCTGCAAAGTTCCAAATCCTTACGTTTGCCGGATACCGAAATGCTCTCACGTCAACAAATTTATGGTTTTTTTCAAACGCCCGTAAGTGAAATAGGAGCGCACGAGCGCTGATTTTAAAAGGGAAGGGTAGCACATGGAATGCGAATACACTCCTACACTTTCAGCTTCCCCGCTGCTGAACTGAAAGTGAGTAACAAAGTTCATTCACCTCCGAACAAACACATGCACACAGACAACCTCTCGACAGAATGAGTTTTTATGTTTCCATAAAAATGAAAATTTAAGAAATTTTCCAAGGCACTGTCTTGAAATGTTGTTAACACGATGAACTACTAGCAAATTCGCATTAGATCAGAGACAAGCCGAATGTATGCAGTTAGGATTTTTTCCTCAGTAAAAGTGCTCCAGGACATTTTGGATCACAAAAGTGCACAAAACAGTTTTTAGCACAGCTCGCTGCACAGTACTTTTATTATTATCTTGCTACCGGGTTTTAACGGAAGATTAAAGCGAATGAAAAGAAACACTAACCAAACTAAGGCAAAAATACAGCAGTACGAATGACGTGACCGAAATGGGGCCCGGATGAAAAAGAAAACAATTAAACTTTATGATTTCATGCACTTTGCCAAAAGCAAGAAAA